GACTTTTTCTAGAAAAAGATTTTTAAAGTTTTTAGAATACGTGATTTTTAAAAGTCACAAAGTGTGGGTTGTAGCTTTTGAAGGTACTATCACCCCAAGCAATTATAACATTTTTTCGTCCTTGTTTTCATCTGAAAATGAGCGATGGAAAAGGGAGGGGGCTTTCCGCAACTGTTTGGCGGTCATTGTATATCATCACACACGTCTTAGAACGCTGAAATCTGATTCGTTTCTGCGAAATAGTTTTTCTGAAGAAAGTAAGAAGGATTTTCTCGCCAAGTTCGGTCGCACAAGGGAGATACGATTAGAACGCCAATAACGCCGTTTTCGCTATGGTCTGGCTATCTTGCGTTCCTCACAAGTTGGCGCACGTCACAGTTCGCCTTCTGTGTTTTTCAGTCTTGCATTGCCTCAATCAAGCTTTTCCTTGTAAGTTAGGTATCCTCACATTCGCTTTGGGCGACCGAACTTAGCACGAGAATCCATTCATAACTTCTTTCAGAAAAATGATCAACAGAATCGGAAGCGAGATTCGGAATCAACGTTCCAGGACGAGTTTGGCACACAATGGCACACATCCTATCTCAAAAGGCCACGGACATTGAGTATCGTTTCCTTGTTAGTGCTGACTAGACAGAATCGCAAGGTGTAATCACCTTTGAACATTTTCAGCAACAACCAGAACTGCGTAAGATGCTGGCATAAGCAGGGGCATGTCACCGACACTTCTGCTGAAAACGTAAAGATGACATCAATTCTTACCAGGACTTAGGCAAGCAAATCACTCATTCTCCGCAGGCCCGGTTCAATCCGCTTTCTTCTTGAAGTACACTAGTCAGACCTTGGCAGCACTCCTTTCGCTTCCCTTCCACTCTGAGGGAGTAAAATGAGTCATTCTAACGTCTAACCACCGCCTACTGGATCTCTGTATGTTGTCTTTAGGTGATGCATATGAACGGTTCATTGAGTAGAAAAAAAATTTATACCATAAGTTGCAGCTAGCAGTTAAAATCAAGATATATCTGTACAAGATTACGCAAGTGAAAGCTTTGCCATATGTTTGGATAAATGAATGAATGAATGAATGAATGAATGAACAAGCTGAAGATGGAAAAAGTGCCCTTGGGATACATTGCTCTGACGTCATTGTGTACAAGCACGTTATGTATATTTACACCGTTGAATATTGTAAGCAAATAGCTATAAACAGTTAGAGTTATAGGGTAACTTTCCATTCCTAGTTGAAAGTCTTCGCTCGGAATGTACGGGCACTGCCGCCAACCCTCAAATGAGGGCGCTCTTCCTCTTGCGTCAGAGTTTCTTCGGCTTCGTCTTCTTGTGAAGAAATCGCTTCTTGCTCTGTTTCTTGCTCCTGAGAAAGGTTGTGCCAGAAACATGCTTTCATGTTTTCGAACCGATCGTAGCAAGCCAGATAGGTCAGATCGAGCTGTGTGACATTTCCAGGACGTTGATCGCAGAATGTCATGCACTGAGCAGAAAGGACTTCACAGTGGTGCTCAACGGCAAGTGAAAAAACTCTAAAGTGTACCTTGTATCCGGCCAAAGTTGTT